CCACGTAGTTGACCGCGGTTCGCGTCCTGGACCTGGTGGCTTAAAACTCAGGCTGAGTACTTGTGCGTGTGTGCCCAAGATCCCGAGAGGAAAATGGAGGAGAAGGGACTGCAGCGTGACCATCCCCCCTGGGGGGTGATTTCTCGCTTTCTGTCTCTATGTCTCTCTCTGTCTGTCTGGCAAGCGCATGTGCCCTATAGAGAAAACCTCTCCAAAAAAAAAAGAATAGATCTATAAACTTTGACAAATGAATGAAGGGTCAGCCTGTCCCCATCTTCTGAGAGTAAGAAGCTCAGGTTGTATTCCTGACTACCATCTGCCTCTACATGGAGAAGCTTGGCAGAGACACCGCTGCTAAATATATACGCCATTAATTCACTTAAATCCTACTATGAAAGTCTTGGACAGCCTAAACATCTATTATTCTATTGAGCCCAATTAAATATATGCCTCTCTAACACAGTTCTAATTTTCTTTTATTCTCCTATGACCGCAGTTGAACCTGTTTCAACACTGGAACTGGGGAAGCGCCTGTCACCATGTCACCTGTATGCCTGAACAGTGACCAATGAAAACAAAGGAGGCACACAAACACGTTCAAACTACCCCACAGACTGAAGACCTTATGTAACGACCATAAAATACTGCACAATGTTGCACTACAAGAGTTTTTGGCATACTGAATGCTTCTTATGGTTAACTGATTAGGAAAGTTTCATCATTCCAGGAGGCAGACAGGTATGTTATGAAGATAAAAGATTTTTTAGAAAATAAAACAATCAACAGCAGTCAATGCACATATATACTGCACTCATCTCTTAAGAAGTGACTCAAGGTACATGCCACATGGAGACCAAACCCATTTTCAGAAAATTCTGGTCCTATCCTCTTTCTGGGATTTAGGCCTTGCCAAGTGAAGACATTCATGTTAAATGATATATACAAGATAAGAAGGGGGCTACCCTACTAAACTGATAGATGGAAAGTTAAGCATGGGAGCCCACCATGGTGGCACAGGCGATTAGGCACTGTTGCGTAATTTTGGGACCATATGGAAAGGCCCAAGGTTTGAATCCCAGGTTATTCTAAACATGTCAGATCTCAGATGGTTGGAAGGTAGTACATAGGATCATGGCTTGGCAACATCATGCTAGCATCCCCATCTCTCTCCATTTCTCTCTCTCATGAAAGGACGAAACTAAAAAAAAAAGTCAAAGTAGGGAGGGACCAAAGGGTGCCAGAGCAGTAAAACACAATACTCTTGGAGGAAATCTCAGGTAGGCTGATTCCCAGTTCAAGTCTAGAGATTCCCTGAGTACCCTGGTCACATGATCTGGGGCTGGCTGAGGGTTGAGGGGTGTCTGCAGAAAAGGGACCCTAAAGGGACCCTATTAAGGGGTGCTGTCTCTCTCTCTCTTTGTTTCTCTTCTAGAAGAAATTAAAAAAAAAATAAAACTTAAAAAAAAAGTTAAGCATGGAAGGATGATGAAAAAAATACATAAAAAGCAGTAGCCTTCCAGGACCTGCCCTAAATACTGGAGCTCCTCCAAGGAGGGATCAGGATACGAGGACAGCAGAGCAATGGAAGTGCTGTCACTTCTGAGAAACATCTTGACATTGTCAGTAGTTCATGAAGTCTCTTCTTGTTAGGGTTCTCACTGCAACTTGGAGATTTACTGATGGGCTTCTACAGGGGTAGCAGTTAGTTACATTTTTGGTATTAAAATAGCTACTTTTCAAAAAGCCAGAAGCGGTTACATCTTTTGGGTGGATAGGAAACCCACCCGAGAAAGAACAAAGAGAACTTCAGGGTAGTGATTACATCTGGGGAAGGCAGGAGAACAGGACTAGGGAATGGAAATGGTGTAGCTACAGGGGCTAAAAAACAGAGTCTAAAGCAAACTATGCTCAAATGCTAACATTTGTCCAATCTGAGTGGTGGGTACACAGAAATCTATTCATATTTCTTATTTTCTTAATGTTTTGCCTGTGTGAAGTACTTTATAATTTTAAAAAGAAAGTAAAATTTAAGTGAAAAGGAGACACAAAAAGCACAAAGAAAATGCAGGCTGTGCCCGGGCAATGCTAAGTGGCAAAGTCCAAGTATGTTGCCTTGATTAAATGTAACTGCCAGGCAACCCGATAAATACACACAAACCTCCTGGAAACATTCAAATCCAAGAGAACACACACTAAGTTGGAATCCACTTTATAGTTTTACATTTTATTGCAAGATAGTCCTTTGCTATCGATCTTGTTAATGAAAGGCATATCAGTGCATTTATCCTTCACCAAACAAAACGCATGTTCGTATTTGAAGATGTACTGAAGGACACATACTAATATTTATTTGCATGTCTACCTGTTCATCTAGCCAAACCCCCAGAGGTATACATATGAGGAATCTTCAAAATAAAATGTTCATGGAAAATGTGTATAGAAAAAGTATACATGGATTTTTTTCGCATCAAAATAAATTAAAATAAACTCGCTTTATTTCTCTTTTCCATGAACTTTTTAAAATTTCTTCACATGGTGTTCGATTTTTAGTGCTAAAGCTAAGTTAGCTCAGAGTATAACTGTCACAAAAGTCCATGTTTCTATTCAGTGTTGGGAAACCAATAGCAGAACTCAGGCTTGTACTAATGAACACAGCCGCGACAGAGAGAAAAACACAAAAAATCCACAGCCTCCTTCTCCTGGATCCTCTACCAAACAGTCCAGACCAACAACTGAATGATAGACATGTACAGCTGACACAGGCTCTATGGACTTGTCACCAGTTTTTCCAAGTATCTGTTTTGGTATATACGTATCAGGATTGGATTAGAGCATAAGGCTACTAGTATACCAATTCTGTGGAGAGGTCTTACTGCCTTACCATACTCAAAAATAAAAAATATCACCAAAGTTGCATACTGTTAGCACAGGGGCCATGCCTGACCTGTAGCTTTTTTGTTGGACTCACACAACATTTCTTTAAAATTCGTATTAGGGGGACCAGCACATGAGTAATAGTTATATCACTGGGCTCCCATCTAGTTGACCGCGGTTGGAGTCCCAGACCTGGTATCTTAAATCTCATGGTGGATGTGTGTGTGCGTGCATGCCAAAGGTCCCAAGAGGAAAACGGAGGAGATGGGATTGTGGCGTGGCCATCCCCCCTGGGGGGCAATTTCTCACTTTGTGTTTCTCTGTCTCTCTCTGTCTTTCTGGTGAGTGCCCAAACCCTTTAACAAAAATCTCTCCCTGAAGAAAAAAAACAAAAAACAAAAAACAAACAAACAAAAAAAAACCTAAAAAAAAAAAATCTTTAATTAGGATAATACACATAAAAACCTATATTTCTATATTTTATTTTCTAAATATTATAAGATCTGCAACATGGAGCTCTCATACTTACCTGGTATGAGCTCGGTTCATATAAGGCCTGGTCACACAACTCCTGTTAACACACTCTTACGCACATGCACCAGCACTCCTTATTCATGTTACTGGCCCTGCCATTGTAGGCATTTCAACCTGTGGTCCAATATTTTTTTAAGAATTATTTTATTTTAACTTTATTAATTAAGTAATTTATTTATTTTCATTTGACCAGAGAGGGACAGAGTAAGAGAGGGAGGGAGAAAGTGAGAAAGCAAGCTGCCAGGTCCAGGACCCAAACCGCAGTTGGCCATGTGTGAGTCCAGCATCCTTAATCACCACCCCACCTGCTGGCCCCAACCTAAGGTCCAATATTAAGGGTACCACACCTCAGAGGCACGAGAAATAAATAGACCCTCCCTAGAACAAAATTAGGAGGTAGGAGAGGGAGAGGAAGAAAGGGCCTGCTTCCTAGAATTTTGCATCTGAATACAAGTCAGGGGAGGTAGATCCTAAATAAGAAATTGTCCCGCACCAGTAAAATGCATACATTCCCATAGTCCTAGCTATACAGTGCCAACATACACAAAGCGATTCCCCACTCTGAACAACATTCATTGCACCTTAAGAAAGAATCGTCTCTGCTCCGATATTGCCTAAGGACTCAGGGAGATGTACTGGCTTTTCTCTGAGGCAATGCTCCCACTGCCCAAGCCAGCCATGAGAATTCCTTTCTACTTGCTAATGCATCAGACACCCTCAAATGCTGTGCCCAAACTCTTATCAAGTAAACTGAGCACCACACTGTGACATTTTACAAGCTAAGAGGAAAAGAAATTATGGCTAAGAAGCAAAAGATGTCTGATGCGGAGCACAGAGATTACTCTTCAACATGAAAATAAGTATTGGAAATACGCACACACAAATGCACAGAGGGAGAAAAAATTATTAATCAACAAAGAAAATACGAGAGTATATACATCAAATGAAATTTCCAAGAAAGAGCTATAATAAACTTCCTAGTATATATATACATACACACACATGCACAGATGTATATACAACCATGATTATGATAAAGTTCAAGAAATAGTAAGACCTTACTACACATACACTGCATTACAAAAAAGAAAGGAAAATAAAAAATATAGGCAAATAAAGTTTCCAGAGTCATAGTACAGTCTCAAGGCACTTTATTTTTAAAAATTATTTATTTACTTTATTTTAGATATTGTATATTATATAATAATAATAATTATTATTATTATTTTAAGTTTGTTATAGCGCATGTGTGCTCACCAGAAAGAGACAGAGAGAAAGCAAGAAAACAAGCCCCCAGGTCTGGTACTCAAAACATGGTCGGCCACGTGGGAGTACAACGCACCAACCACCACGCCACCTGCTGACCCAACACACTTTATTTTATTGAAACCTAATTTTCCTGATCAGAATTGTTGAAGTTCATCTTCTCATTAGTGTCTGCAGAGTTTCAAGAGACATTTCGCAATCTAAAAAGAAGAGCCTTTTTCTTAAGGGTTACAAGATCACTGACAGAAAAAATAAAAGCCACAAGCATGATAATTTACACAACTTGGCTTTTGCCTCCTGCAGAAGGAAAGAAGGTACGCACTCACCGCAGACAGCTGGCTCCACGTGGATCTCAGGGGCTTATGGTGAATCACAATTTTTTCATCTGGCTTCTGTTCTTTAGGCTCCGACTCTTCATCAGAGTCGATGTCAAGAGCCTTTTCTTTGTAGTTTTGGTACAGGACTGCATTTTCTGCACGAACGCAAGTATCACATGTCACTAATTGCCCTAATCATTATACTACTTATTCTAAAATACATTCATATTTACACAATGTTTGGTCACCAGTTTAATGAACAAATACACAGAGTAATTACAAAAATGTGTTGTGTTTTTTTCTTACACAGTTCTGCCCCAAACTCACCTGGAGAGGAAGGTAAAAGGAAAGGAAGGGAAGGGAAGGGAAGGGAAGGGAAGGGAAGGGAAGGGAAGGGAAGGGAAGGGAAGGGAAGGGGAACTGCATTCCATACATGAAATGCTAACTGAAGCAATGTTTCCATGTCTCTATTACTCAAGAAGGATAATGAAGACTATTAAATACTTCCTTAAGTTACATTGAATTCACACCCAACCTTTTCTTCACGAGCCTTCACTATTCTTTTATCTATTTAATAAACCTTTACTGCATATCTATAGTATGCCAAGGGCTAAGAATGAAACAAAAGATACCTGTCACACTCTCATGAGCTAACAATTCAATGAGAAAAATGGTCAAATTTACTCATGCATTTACTCATTCAACTGATACAGAAAATACCTAGTAGGTGCCAGCAACTGCTAGGCACTAGAAATACAACACTGGGCAAAAAAATGATAAAAAATATTTCAGTCTTCATGGAACTGGCATTAGTGTGCAAGAGAAATGCAACAAACAGGTAATTTTCATGGTATTTCTGGTACTGGTAAGTGTCATAGAGAAAAATAAAACAAGGAAAGGGGGTTGCAAGTGCTGGAAGAAAGGTATGTGGGCTTTAAACAGGGTAGTTTAGAAAGGTCTCGCCAAAGTGACATTAAGCAAAGACGTAAAGAGGTGAGAAAGGGAAGGGAAGGGAAGGGAAGGGAAGGGAAGGGAAGGGAAGGGGAACTGCATTCCATACATGAAATGCTAACTGAAGCAATGTTTCCATGTCTCTATTACTCAAGAAGGATAATGAAGACTATTAAATACTTCCTTAAGTTACATTGAATTCACACCCAACCTTTTCTTCACGAGCCTTCACTATTCTTTTATCTATTTAATAAACCTTTACTGCATATCTATAGTATGCCAAGGGCTAAGAATGAAACAAAAGATACCTGTCACACTCTCATGAGCTAACAATTCAATGAGAAAAATGGTCAAATTTACTCATGCATTTACTCATTCAACTGATACAGAAAATACCTAGTAGGTGCCAGCAACTGCTAGGCACTAGAAATACAACACTGGGCAAAAAAATGATAAAAAATATTTCAGTCTTCATGGAACTGGCATTAGTGTGCAAGAGAAATGCAACAAACAGGTAATTTTCATGGTATTTCTGGTACTGGTAAGTGTCATAGAGAAAAATAAAACAAGGAAAGGGGGTTGCAAGTGCTGGAAGAAAGGTATGTGGGCTTTAAACAGGGTAGTTTAGAAAGGTCTCGCCAAAGTGACATTAAGCAAAGACGTAAAGAGGTGAGAAAGCTAACCACCTGTGGCCTAAGAAAGGACATCTTCTCACAGGGAACAGCAAGTACGAAGGCCCTGAGGCAGGAATCTGCTTAGTAAATAAATACAGGGACAGCAAGGAGGCCTATGTGTCTGGAGCACTGTATGGGAGGGAGAAAATTAGAGAAGTTGGGTTTTGAGGGTAAATAGAGGGCAGATCATGTAGGGCCTTGCTTCAAGCCACCAAGGGACTGTTATTTTTATTCCAAGTATGATGGATGGCAAGTAAAGTTGAAGACACAATGATCTTACACAGATACACACCTACAAACTGAAGATTTATACACACTGAGAACAGATTGTGTGATCACAGCAAAGCGTGATCTAGTCTGAGAGGAAGGTGTCCATGAGGAAATCTTACTATTTGAAAACTCAGATGCTACCGAACTAAAGGAAAAACTCTACGCAAAAGTCCAGAAACAAGAAGAAACCTAATACCTTAGAAAACCTACGGTAGATCACTGTGGCTGTGGCTTGGGTGTGTCCAATGGCCAAAGGGACTGAAGAAAGTTTAGAGAGACAGCCAGATAGTCCTAATTGAGCAAAGTTTTGTAGGCCAGGTTGAAAAACTGGATTTTACCCTGAAAACAAAAGGACTGTATTTCATTAACACTGTAATGATTGTATTCTATCTTGAATGCGATGGGAAGTCCCTAAAAAAATGTTTGCTTAGATTGGAGGGCAAAATACTGACTACCTAGGAGACTAATTACAATGCTGGGGTGATCAATGAAAGATGATGAAGACTTGGGCCATACAACTTTGAAAGGACTGGTGACAGATTATATTTGGGAGCAGAGAAAAGAAAGTGGTAAGGATGTTTATGAGGTCATCAGGTCCCACAAATGGAAAGTAAGAGATGAGAATACCAGAAGAGATTGAGAGCTAGCGGGGAAAATATGGTTTGGAATGTACTGAGTTTGAAACGTCTTTCCCATCTAATAAAGCTTACAAACACCTGCTTGTTCTCTTATTGACTACAGATTGTTATGTATTCTCTATGATTAATGCAACAATGGAGCTAATGCAAAATTTCACTTTTTTTCTGATTGTTCTGCATACATAAAACAGATTATGAGAGGGAAAAAATTGAGTTTTTCCCAGTCCTTAAAATAGTTAATGGTAAGCACAAAGTCAAGGCACAACATTGAGATGTGTTTTCATTCATACTCATAACAATGTGGGTAACAGAATTATTAAATGCATTTTACACATGATGAAACTGGGGCTCAGTCAAGTTCACATTCTTGCTCAATGTCACTCAACCGATGAGCAGAAGCAGTGGGACAGCTATCTAAGTCTGTCCAGATCCTGTATCACAGCTTCTCACCACTGGGCTACACTGCTTCCTGACTTATATTCTTATTAGTCATCAATTGTAAAAATTCTTGCATTGTCACACCCATAAGTGTGAAAAAGAATTTCTAGGTCATCATATTTGAGAAGAGATGAGAAAATACACAGAAAGAGCTCCTTATAACAGAAACGTAAGACTAGTTATAATGAAGATCTGCCTCTGCCTTTAAAAATACTCTGAATTTTTAACCCTCTGAGGCAAAGGTCACAGATCAATATCAATGTCAAATTCCAGGGGATATAAAGAATCTTCCTAAGTAGATATTAGGCAGACACCCTTCAATTCACACATTCATAGAGTGGTACAAGAGGAAGAAAACTTGGGCAAAGAACCAAATCTGCATCCTAAGACTGGCTGTCTTACTAGCTGTGTGATAGTAGACAGGTTTTAAATCTCTTAGAGCTTCCAGGGTTCTCAGTTATAAAATTAGAGAGAGAAATTTATCCTAACCAGGTAGAGTCCTGTTTCTGGATTTCATTTCCACATAGCAACAATTTCCTAAGACTGGTGCAATGAACAGTTTTTTGTAAATTAGTCATTTTTAAAGACTCCAATGGGAAACTCATCTTTATAAAAATTAAAGAAGGAAATGTTTTATAATCAATCACCCAAGGTTATATATTTTATAACTCTTGGTAGTTTTACATTAGCTTTACTCTTATAAAGGGGCTTCATTATTCTTCATTATTCTTTAAAGCTTGGAAAATCTTAGCATTTCAAAGCATGACAGACACCAATAACCCTTACTCCTCCATGACCCTCCCGCCCTGCAAGGCTACAGCTGGGACAGATCCCTTCATGCTCTTCCAGTTGGCTGACACTTGACCCATCTATTTACAGAAAGTCCACTAATCTGATTAGGGTTTGAACACCTGGTTAAAGCTGCTTTTGTTTTTGAGATCCTTAACAAAAAATACTATATGGGTAGCAAATTCTTAAGACTATATTTTGGTCAGCTAGGAGCGTTATATTTCCCTGAAGTTGAAACTTAATAAGGAAATAGGAAGTTAGAAAGGATAACAAAAATGTGGAAATAGAAGGAAAAGAATATTAAGTCAAAGGAAACGTGTCCAAAGAAAATATGACTTAAAATCTAGAAGCCAAATCAGAATTTTCAACTGAAAGTTAGAGCTTGTTCTTATTTAGTTATTTATTTATTTTTGAGAAAGATGGAGCTGGAGCCAAATTAGAATAGAATGAAATAACCCAAGACACTGAAACAGTTATCAACTTATTAAAAAAATTAATTTTACTCACTGTTAATATAATTAGATAAAAATTTAGCTCAGTGCAGGGCTTTGTACTCTATAATTCAGTAAACTGAACATTTTTCTCATCTTAAGTATTTTTGCTACCACAGTTGGATTTCAACTTCTAATTGATATTCCACATTGGCACAGCAATAAAAGTCTGGAAAATCAAATGCTTACCTTCCCCATCAAATGTTCCTTGTCCTTTCAGCATTTTTTTCTAAGAGACACAAAAAGAAAAAAAAAAAAAAAGGAAAAAGCAAACCAAACCATGAATGAATGTGCCAAATAGAAAACGCAGCTATTTTAAGTAAAAGTACTTTTTATTGTTACAGTCATTAGGTTTCCAAAAGCAGAGCAGATGATCCCTAGAGCAGCTCGCTCCTGTGACCACTACAATTCCCGGAATGGTGAAATAAAATGTGCAGGGTTCCCCACACCCCATCAAAGCGGATTGAGAATCCTCAAATGACCACCACGGCAGCTCATTTCACTACTCGTGATTCACCGTCACTAAGCTTTCCTATGTTTGTAGAGTCAGAAAAAAAACCACATAAACTGTTAAGTAATTTCTTTTCTTTGAGACCATAGCTCTCAAATGAAACAGGCTTGTCCGTGTATTACATATGCGACATTTTTACAAAACGGTTCCAGTTCTCTGCTTAATCATAAAAAAGGGGAGAGGGGCTGCCAAAAGGAATCTTTGCCCTGTTGCCAAGACCTGCCTTATTTCTGGAGAAGGCAGCACACACTTCAAAATATCCCCCTCTAGTGTTTCCTATTTTATTATGCATATTTGGCAGTATCTGAGGAAGCACAGCTCCTAGGCCTTTATCTGGAAGCAGTACCAATATTTACCCCCACATCAAGTTTTGAGCTACCAATCTGTGAATGCATGCCAGGACAAATGGGAATAAAATACCAAGGGCATGGGGACAGAGGCAAGTAACAAAACGGATGACAACTTATTTGTGTCTTTTGTGATTCTGGCAAGTGATCTTAAAATTCTCATTTTACCTGGATGACATCAAATGTGTGATCACCACTCCAAGAAAAAGAAAAAAAAAAACCAGCAAGTAAAAACAGAATATCAAAAAGCAGAGGCTGAAACAGAAATCAGTATTTTCCTGTATCAGCTGTGATACAGATAACACTCTCACCTGTAACCAACAACCTGACCAGAGTGAAGAGAACAGATCCTTAGGGCGCTGGGCTCCTCTCCCCTTAGCAGCCAACTGTACCTTCATGTGTTCAGAGAGCCAGCAGGTGGTGTGGTGGTTAAGGTGCTGGACTCCCAAAGGACCCACCAGTTTGAGTCCCAGACCACTTGCTTGAAAATCACTCTGCACATGCCTGCCTAAAATCCTAGGGGATGAACAGAATGATGGGGGCCATACCCCTCCCCTCCCAGGGTGATTTCTCACTTTCCCTTTCATAGTCTCTCTGTCTCTCCACCCAGCACACATGCCCTAAGGCAAAAACCTTTAAAAATAAAAATAAAGTGTTCAGGATTCACTCAACCAATACTTAATTTGGTGTAAATGTTTTCCATTTGTACATCACCCCCCCCCCCAATTTTGCTTGGGCTTGGAAAGTTAAAAGCTGTGAGCTTCACTCCCACACTTAAACTTGCATTAAACTTGGCTATTTCTGACAACAAACAGAATGGCCCAGAGTTGTCTGCACACCGTGGTATCAACAGCAAAAACAAAATTAAAAGAGAATACTTATGATTTCCTCTGGGCTGCTCCTCCCACCCCCAGCATATTCGCTTTTGGCTCAGCAAGCGGCATGGGTGGACACTCACGCCCCTTCTTACCTTCATCCTTCCCAAGCTGGAAAACTTCTCCTTGTCTTCCATCACTGCTTTCAGAACCGGCTGAGACATTCTGTTCTTCTTCTTCGAGCTGTTAGGGCTGTCGAAATCAAAGCCACTAACTACTGCTCGGCGGTAGGATGTGGACCGCAAGCCTCTCCGCAGAGACCCCGGACTGTCCACGTCGTTGTCGACCTCGCCCTCCTCCCCAGCGTGGCCCAGGGCTGTTCCCAGGCCCTCCACCATGCTGCGCACTTTGAGGAGTCGCTTGTGGGGATCTACATTCTGACCGTTGGATTTACTTATCTTAATTTCCGAGGCCAGGCTCTTGGGAATGATCTGCTGCTTCCCAACTTTGAGGGCAGCGGGGCTGTTTGTACTCAAAACCACCGAAGGACTCTCAGGGTGCTCGGTCTCCTGGGACGGGAGTCTTTGGAGTGGGAGTTTTTGTTCCGAACTCCTTTTCTGGGGCGCAGGAGAAAGTCTCCAGGATCCCGGTTCCGGCTCCTTGGTGGTCTGACCGGATTGCGGAGCCAAGCCAGGAGAATGGTTATCAGGGGCAAGACCCTTTGCAGGGGGCGAAGGCACCGGGCTGAAAGTCAACCGAGTAGGGTCCTCCTCTGGGCTGCAGGGGACGAGCGCGTTAGCAGTCCGCTGGGGGCGCAGCGGCGACGCAGGCGAGGTCATCGTGCCATTTGCTGGGGATTTCGGAGAGCCAGCCGGCGCCGCTTTGGGGACCAGAGGTGACTTGGGCCGTTGGAGTCGTGGAGAAGCAGCGTTGTACTCCGGGGAAACCGTCCCGCCATTGGCCACCACTCTCCGAGGGACGTGCAGAAGCAGGGGGCTTCTCTGGACTGTCCTGCCGTCGGCGGCTGTGAGCACTTGGGCCCGAGTCTGCGCAGCGGGAGGAGTCCCTCTGTCCTCCACCGGGAAATCCGTGATCAATAACCCGTTGGGGCTCTGGTAAGACTGAGGCCTCGGCTTGCTCCGACTCAGCAGCGGAGGCTGAGGGGTCGATCGCCTCCGCCACAATGGGGTCGAGCTGTTGCTAGAAAAATCCACTTCGCTTTCGCTGTCCATAGTGGGACCTTCGGGGTCACAATCGGGGGCGGGGGTGGGGTGTGTGTATGTGTGACAACACCCACTAGTCTTGCCAAAAGAGGAAAGAACTTATGGAACTTTGCCTCTGGACAACCGAGCACGCCTCGCAGACTCGCGCGCTCTGAGCTCGGCGGTCACCCTGCGGTGGCGCGGGACGCAGCTGCGCGGCGCTTACCCGCCCTTTCTCGGGCAAAAACTGCGCCCGCCGCGCTGCTCCGTCTGTGTGGAATCTGGGCTGCAGCCCAGGCAGCCCACCTCCGCGTGCCTCCTGCGCCCAAAGACCACCCGGAAATGAGCGCGCCACCAATTTGCCGGGCTAAAACCGCTGTACAAGAAACTTGGGACCGGTTCAGCTTTCTGGGGAAACTCGCCGCGGGACGCTCCTCTCCGCCGCCATCCAGCCGCCCGCTCCCGTCATGAGTCCCCTAGCTCTTAAGCTGCTGAACTCCCAGGCAGATTTACCTTCCCGGGCTTGTCCAGTCTGGGGCCAGGGAGCGCTCAGCGCCCGGTGGGTGGCCCGGGTCCGAGACCGAAGTGCCTCAGCTGCAGCTCTGGAGAGCCCAGCAGCCGACCTCGGCGCCGGCTCCTCCCCCCAACCAGCCCCGCCCCCCCCCAGGCCCCCTTTTTTGGGGTCAGCCCGCTGAGTGCTGTATGAACACCCCCGCGTGCCTCGAATCTGCTCTTGCATCTGTGTGAAATAGACGTGCACACCTGAGCTGAATGCCAAGCTCCAGGGCTCCGGGCTGGGAGCTGCGCACTAGGGGTGACTATCGCTGGGAGCACAGCGTGGGAAGAAGTGTCTGAACCTTGCCAGAGGTGCAACTTACAGAGAGCCCTGAGCTCCGGGGAATCACTCGTCTTTAAAACGTGAACGCGCCGCCAAAAAGAATAGGAATGCTAGAGCAAAAATGCAGCTCTAATGCGGAGAGCCATGCCCCTCTCATTATTTGGGTAGTCTTAAAACACACAAGTACGACGGAGTCTCTCACTGATTAAAGAGGCTTTTAGTAAAGCGATTTCCTTGTTTGTGCCTCGAATATTTCAGGGAGGAAATACACTGGAAGTTTGAGAGGGGAATGAGTGGCTAGGAAGTCAGAGGAAGGGAAGGTTTTCATTTAAAAATATTTGGACCTTGCGTATTTTCAACTTTGAAAGTTACCTACCAAAAATAAGCACAATATCAACTTTAAAAAAAAGTACTGATTTCCTACTGTACATAGAATAAAATTTAGAACCCCAGCTACCTGTTCTCCTGTTCCTCAGTTATTAAAATTTGTAAACATATACTTATTTACATGTTCACTTATATGTTCTGTCTTCACTGTAAACTGCAAGAGAGCAGGGGCCATGTTTGTTTCCCTTCCATATTCCAGGCCCATGGTGGACACTGTAAATATGAATGAGTGAATAAATGAATGAATGAGAGGGATGAAATGAGAACAGTGACCATTTCTCACAGAGGGCTTGGTTGCCAAGTAGTGGAAAGTTGGTGTGTCCTGGCCAAGCTCCTTCTTGTAGAAGAACAAGGCAAACTTGAGAAGACAAATGATTTTTTGACCATAACATCTGTATAATTGGTTCTAATAGCAAGACATATGGGCCCTCCTCCAGGTCCCCTCTCAGCATTCATGCACCAGCAGGAGTGAAGGGAGCATCCACAGTGTGCAAGTTAGGCTGCTGTGTTGCTATAAATACAATACATTGAATGTAATGGCAAAAACATGAAGAGGCAATTCTGGTTGTGAGATGAAGGATGGTGTCTTTCATTTTTTTAATATATTTTTTCAGGAATGAAGGGAGCATCCACAGTGTGCAAGTTAGGCTGCTGTGTTGCTATAAATACAATACATTGAATGTAATGGCAAAAACATGAAGAGGCAATTCTGGTTGTGAGATGAAGGATGGTGTCTTTCATTTTTTTAATATATTTTTTGTCATCAAATGCTGTACAATAAACATTGCTTTACCCAAAGATGTTTTTTTGTAAACTAGAAGAAATTGAATAAAAAAGAAGAAAAAATTTTAAAGAAACTTACTAATTATTTCAGTTGGAAGACATGTGGCTGACTATATACTCGTACTTACAGACTGTAATGGAGGGCATTGTCTGTACCAACACATTATTTTCATACACAAAAAATCTATACTAAATATAACACTAGAGGTCTTAACTAATGACAGTGGAGCATTTACCTCATTTAGAATGCAGTCTGTGACCTATCTTAAGCTGTAAATGGTGATGTGAGATGCTGGCTTCTCTTCAAATTATGTTGGTTCTGCAAACAAATGTCACTGATGTTTGTGAAGAAATCAGAGGATCTGCCTGCCCCATTCCTTAGCAACAACATCATACCCACCGACATAACAAAACTTTAACCACTGTTCCTGCACAAAAGGAATTTTGGAAACTCACAGACTTAGCACCCCCATTCAATTTATCATACCCATTCAATCCAAGACATCTTCAATTGTGCATGCTACCAAGAATCAGAAAGAGTTGCTAACTAAACTATGACACAATGGTACCACACAGAATTTTCACTTCATACTTACTGAGGAGTGCTTTTAAACTTACTTAGACATAGATAATTTTAGTATAGATGCATTTAAAAAGGAAAACAAATAAAATAAGTTGATTGAAGTTCTGTTCGTAGAGTTTAATTTAATCCCTTTCATACAGAGAATTAATATGTGTTTTTCCACACAATATTATTGAAAGTGCAGTCCTTTGTTTAGATTTTTTTTTATTTTTTTGGAGAGTTTTTGCTATAGGGTGCGTGCACTCTCCAGAAAGACAGAGAGACAGAAAGTGAGAAATCACCTCCCAGGGGGGTTGGCAGAGTTGTAATCCCTTCTCCTCCATTATCCTCTCGGAATCTTGGGCTCACACACACGTGCCCGGCGTTGAGTTTAAGCCACCGGGTCTGGGACTTGAACCGCAGTCAACTACATGGGAGTCTAGTGACATAGCCATTATGCCAACTGCTGGTCCCTAGAGTTATTTTTTATTTAACTTATTTGTTGATTTATTTTTAATTTGACCAGAAAGGGACAAAGTGAAGGGGGGGGGCAAGAAAGCAAGCTGCCAGGTCCAGGACTTGAGCCATGGTCAGTCATGTGGGAGTCCAGGATGAGAGGGATGAAATGAGAACCATGCTACCTGCCAGCCCTGACAGTATAGTCCTTTTTAAAAGGGATTTTCCATTTTTGTCTCTGAGATTTACCTTCTAATCATTGGCACCAATTCTGCAAATTTGTTTAATTCTGGTATTATTCTATTTGACTAAAACATAGTGTTCTTGTTTAACTAAATTATATGTCACTACACGTTAGGAAGCTTTTCCATTAATGGCCAGAAAGAAGTTTCCATCCATAGCTATAGTCCAGCATGATACATGAATTGGTTATATCAACCTCTTGTTGCTTTAGAATTTCTTTCACCTAATTTGACACATTTGGCAATTTCTGCAGTCTTTGACTGGATTTCTTGGCATATGCACTGACATATTTAGTACTAAATTGTGTGGAATTCAATAGAAATGAGGAATATTTAAACAATTATGATCATGTTCACAAAGAGGCTACGCCATCTGGACCATATTATCACCTGACCAGTGGCTATTTACTTGACAGTACGGTATATCTCAGTTCCAGAGAAGTTAAAATACAGGACTAAATGCTTCTGAAAAGGAGAAATACGGTATTGGACATACACTTATTGAACCATTAGGAATGGTATATTCTCTCAGTATATCCTAATGTTATAATGAACTGTTAGAATATTCACTGATATAATGTAGGAAATATTACTCCATGTATTAAAAAATTTGTCTTGATCAATTGTGGGTCACTAGTACAATGATTAGGATAATTTATAAATGTAGTTGGTAAACTAGTATTATTACTTTTGCTATTATATCCCATCCACCTTTTATCCATTTACTTATATATTCCACAAATACTTACTGGGTGGATTTAAATGCCACTCCTGAAGCTTACAACTTGGCTCATTAAGCATATCTGAAACATTAAAATAATAACATAAGGGGACTTCAAAATATCCATGGAAAAGTAGGATTATAATGTGAATTTGTTCTGATGCAAAATATTGAAATCCATGCATAGGTTTTCATAATAGGTATTTCCCATGAGCTTTTTGAAGACTCCTTGCATAAAAGAGCCAAACTGAATAAGATATATATTAAGTGCCTTATTCTATAGACATCTTTCTGAGGAAATCTGGATAAAACTGGGCCAGAATAGAAGGTAAAATATTGTGAGGGGGAGGAAAATAAAGGATATGCCAAAGAGATGTCTCAGCATGAGCCAAAAACAGAGGGCTGCCTGGAGAACGGGATGAATACCAGTACTAACTGTATGCTAAGCTCTGTTCTTCATTACATAGATTCTAATCTCATATTAGTTCTGACCCTACCTAAATATGAAGAAGGTGAGGCTCAAGAAGTTCCTCTCATAGTATCATAAGAGTTTGAGTCAGAACCCTGACTGGGTTCTCTAATGCACTTCAGGACCCATGCACTGAAATAAAGAAACTAAGCTCACAAGGGCACAGTTTCCATTTAGAGATTGTGGGAGATCAATTTGTCTAGATATGGTGCAAATAGAATGTGATGGACAACATAGTTTGAAGGGTCTAGATTTTACCTGAATGGCACCTGCCATTCCCTGAAGGGATTTAAACCTTGCAGTTCTTTAAAAAATTATTCATGGGGCCAGTAGGTGGCATAGTGGTTTCTGTGCTAGACTCCCACATGGCTAACCTTGGTTTGAATCCCAGATCTGGAGGCTTAAAAATCATGGTGGAGTGTGTGCATTTATGCCAAAATCCCAGGAGGAGAATGGAGAAGGGATTGTGGTGTGACCATCCCCACTGGGTGTGATTCTTACTTTCCCTCTCACTATCTTTGTCTCTCTCTCTCTCTCTCTCTCTTTCTGGAGAGCATATGCTCTTTAAGGCAAAAACCTCAAAAAACAAACAATCAAACAAACAAAAAACTGATGACATCTTAACTTTTCATCCATTAGATTGGCAAAGAGTTTTTTAAAAAGTAATACCCGCTGTTGGTAAAACTGCAGGCAAAAGAGAACTCTGAATTATTAATGGTTAGAATGTAAATTGGTACAAGCTTTCTTGAGTTATTGGATGATACTTAACCAAAATCCTAAAAACAAGCAAATCTTTGATTTAGTAATTCTACATGTAGGAATTAATCCTGAGGAAATAGTCCTTGGTGTGTGCAAAAAAAAAGTGTGTTCAAGAATATTCATGAAAACA